GGGCAAGTGCAAGACCATCGTGTCCAAGTATGAGACCAAGTACGGGCCCTTGTAACCCGTGCCCCTGCTTGGGCAGCACTGCCTGCACCTCAGACCTCTGCCTGGGGGCTCCCTGAAACCCCACACACGCGTGGAGACTTATGACTCGTCACGGTCGAATGGTGGCACACCTGCTCCAGGAGCGTTCACGTTCAAGCTTCATTATCACACGGCCAGCGCACGTGGCGACTTCTCTGGGGGGCCAGCCTCCTCACCAGTGGGGATGCGAGAGAATCTACGTAGACGGGTGAATCAGCCTTAGTTTCTATTCTTGGATGTCCCAGTTGAATCGGAAGGGGACCTCTGGGGTACAGATCTCCTTTCACAGGGCGCTCAGGCTTCCCTGACTCTCCCTCAGTCTCCGGCCTAGGCCATCGAGCCTTTCTCCACAGAATGAGTCGTGACCCTTGTCGCCCGATGTCTTCTCAGGTAGCAGGGCGCATTTCCAGGTGGGGTGTGTCTGTCATCCACCTCACCCTCCCCAGAAAGTCGTTGAGAAAGGCATCCGTTCCCATCCCCCTCAGAGGTAGAAAGACACAGCAGCTCCTCCATAGTGTCCACATGGGTGCCAGGCCACAGGAGCAGGGTCTCTGCACAACCTGGGATGGGGTGTGGGTCTGGGGCCTGCAACACAAGTGCACCCAGCTATTCTTAGCTCCCACACCCCTTTTCTCCTGTGGCTCTGAGGCCTGGAAGCCAGGGAGGAGGCCCTGGTGATGGTCTCTCTCCACTTTCCATTTGCTTTGGAGGAGGGACTCCCTGGGCGGCTGGTCTTTGAGTCTTGACCACAGTGCAGAGGGAGGCCTTCTCATTTCCTCTTCTCCAGGTCGGTCACTCATGGAGGCCACCTGAAACTTCTTTGTCCCACTACACTGGGCCTCTGGGCCTGCTGTTTCTTTTCACCCAGTGACCACGCTCAGATCTTGGATTTAAAAGGAAAACCCCCCTCGCCTAGGAAGCTTAACTTCCTGGAGCCAGGATGCACCTTCCGCATGGTGTTTAGAAAACCGGCCTCCATAGCCCCTTACACTGTGGGCGGAGAGCTGGGGCATGTTTCTCAAGAAGTTCCTGTTTTTTCTTGCTCTGCTCTCCAGTATGGGCCAGGCCAGAGTCCATTTTCCCTAAAAACAGAAGAGGGCTTCCCAGTTCTTGCTTCAGGACCCCTCCCCCGTGCTAGCTGCCCGGCGTGTCAGCCGGCAGGACCTGGTGAGGGATCACCAGGAGCACAGCTCAGCTCTTGCACGGAATAGCAGCCTCTTGGGCCGTGCAGTTGGGCTAGGGTCCCTTCTGTCTGCATCCCAGGAGACACGGGCCACCCACACAGGCCTGGCTGTGGTGTGGAGGGGAGGGGTCTTCGCAGCTGTGGCTCTGCTACCTCACAGCTGCTCCTTTCTCTTGTGTCGGCGGACTCAAGTCATCCTTTTTCTGTACCTGGAAGATTGAGGAAAGCCGTGGAACCCTCTGCTCACTGTGGTCAGCAGGGGTACCTGGAGATGGGTGTATTTATTTGCTCAGGGCGGGCAGCCTGTGGTAAAGAGGGGTCAGAGGTGAGAGGCGCACCTTGTCGTGCTTAACCACTGGCTTTATTTAAAGTGGTGGCCCCGAGTCCAGGCCCTGACCCTAAAAGACTTTTCATAACAGATGTTAAGACCAGGGGAAACCATGCACTGGCCATGGGCCACACCCCAGGAGAATGCCACGGCCCTCTGGGGACCTGCACACCTGCCCTTCCAGGGTACTTGACAAGGGTCCCCGAGGCCAAGGGAGGCCGTCCCCTCCCTCTTGATTTTTACTTTGTGGTTCTATAAAAACCGTGTTCACTTTCACTGTATTGTAACCACAACAGGGCCGTTGCATCCGGCATGTCCGTGTCCTGCCCCGGGCAGCTCGCCCGCCCGGGCACTCTCTCTCTGGTCTGGCTACCCACCAAGAGGGCAGTTCTCACTTTGTAATTGGTAGAAGAGCCTCCAGCTTAAAAGCTCTTCATTTTCTTTGGCCAGAAAGTATATGGCTCGTGTTTGTTTTGTTTTGTTTTGTATTTTTAAGGATGGACATTTAATCTCCGGATGGTGTCCATGTTCCGACCCCAGCGGGTGGAATGATGGCCTGGTGTCTCTCCTCTTTGTCTCACCTTCTGCCTGTTAATTGCCCTCCCTTTCTTCCCCGCCAGGCAGTGGGTGTCTGGTTCCTTCCCAAAGTGCTTACTTGGAAAGAGTGTGGCTGCTGACCTCTTTTAGAAGAGCTCCTTTGAGTTGGGAGCCTGGCAGGGACAAGAAGGAAGGGTCCACAGAGGTTGACATTTTGAGGAAGAGGAGTGCTCAGGTAAAGCATGTATCCTTCCCAGGCCTAAAAATCGGGTGCTTGGAGCAGGAGAGGCCTGCTGCCTGCTCAGTATCCCGTCAGGAATTGAGAGTCTCCTTGACTCTCTCCTGGACCCTTTCCGTCTTGGGGCTGACAGCCAAAGAGTGAGGCTCCTGTGCTCAGACCTTTGACGTCTTTTAAGAAGCACTGGAGGCTAGGGAAGCCAGCTAAACGGCTTTCCTTGGGTTTATGATAGCTTGGGGAGTGCATGCCTTCCTAAGCTCCCTGTCTTCAGCTTCATGGCAGCCTCATTGCAACCTCAGAACAGACAAACCAAGAATGAGCTAGAATGTTGAAAGAATATACATATAATAAATGTATATCTAGATATAGAAATATATATATATAAATATAAATATATATATATATTTATTTATATATATATATTTAGAGAGAGAGCTTTCATGATGGCTAGCACCTTGTGGAGGACCTGGGTAACTCGTACCCTTGGCCAAAGGAAGAGGTTTGCCTGTCCGGGTCCTGAGGTTGGGGAGGGCACTTGGCAGTGACCCTGGACTCTGGGTAAGCATTGCCCTGTGAAGGGGGCTGCTGTGGCCCCAGGCAGGCAGCTCATACAGTCCTCTAGCCTGAGGCGGGGTAGCAGGCCTGGGAACCAGCAGGGGAGAGCCCCTTCGTGCTGGGCAGCTCTCCATCCAGGCCCCTGGGGGCTCTGCTCCAGGTGACACAAAGGGCCAAGAACCCCTGGTTTTCGTGGCAGAGCCCCACCCCAGAGCTCCTTTGACATCTGTTAATTAAGTGCAATAAATTTTTCTAGAAAATGGCAAAGATGACTTCCAGGTGGATATTGCTATCATATGGTGTTGGGATGCCAGAACACCACTTGGTTTTATTTTTCTAAGTGCATGTGACAGAGTGTGTGGGGCTCTGCACCCTCCCCTGGGAACTGGCATTCCAGCGGGCCCCTCGCCCCTTTACCTTTGGTGGGGGAAGGAGGCAAGGAGAAAACCCCTTCTTCCCAGTTGGAGAGGGCAGAAGCAGACTGTAGCCCATTGGCCTTATGTGCGTGTGTGCGTGCGAATGTGTCAGTGCTGGTGGGCCGGAGTGATGTGGCAGGGAGGGAAGCCGGGAATGTATCCTTTTCCAAACAAAATTAAATATTTTGAGATGAGAGTTGTGGGGCTGTCTCTTCTGTCCTCCTCCCTTCCCATGTTTCCTCTGGGTGCATTTCAGCCTAGGAACCTGAGGGACGTCCAGGCACCCATGTGTCACCAGCTGGGTACTCTCGGCCAGGTCACCCAACCACGCTGTGCCTCAGTTTCCTCATCTGTCAGATGGGAGTAATTCTGCCTGCTTACCTCACAGTTCATTGAGGAACAACAAATACCAGATAAGAAGCAGTTTGAACAAGTAAAAGTGCCGTACACATACTAGAAAGACAGGGAACTGCTCAGGAAGACTGCTCAGGGAGCAGTGGGCAGCAGCTCGGTAAAAAGGAAAAAAGCATAAAGACTGAGAGTTGGGTCCTGATGGTGGGATTCTGGGCGGTTTCCTTTTCTCCTCTTGCTGAATATTCTGTCTGTGGCCATCAGACCATCACAATTAAAAGGTAAGTTTATAGGGGCATCTGGGTGTCTCAGTTGGTTAAGCGTCCAACTTGTGATCTCAACTCAGGTCATGATCTTAGGGTCAGGGTCACTGAGCACTGTGCTCCGTGCTGGGTGTGGAGTATACTTAGAAAAGAAAGAAAAAGTAAACACAAGGGTGCAGCCACTTGGGACCCTTGTTGTCACCACTGATTTGCTCAGCATTGGTGTCCCCAGGTCCACATCCCCTGCTCAGGGCTGGCCTGGGGTCCCTGGGGGCCTTCATCGGGGGCGGGGGCAGAATAGGGTGCACCATCCAACTCAGAGCCTGCTGCAACTTCCCATCCTCCTCCTGCATCTCCGCCCTGTCCTTGCCCTTCTCCCTCGACCCCCTCTGTGCGCAGAGCTGGTGGCGCCTGCTTCCCCCAGGAGGCCTGCAGCTGCCTGTTTAAAACCAAGACTGTTCTGCCTTCTGCCTCCCCATGCTGCATGGTAGAAGTGCTGAGGGTCGCTGTGTCTTGAGGGACCAGGAACCAGCCCTAATTTTGTTTCTGAGGGGGAAAAGTTTGCATTTAGAGTTTGGAGACGGCAAGGTGGACTTTTAAAAATGGCCATTTTACAAATAGAAAAGCAAAGTGATATGCCCCAAATAATAGCAGTGGAGCTGAAATTCAAACCCAGAGTGGGTTTCAAATTTTCAAGTTCAAATTCCCTGAACAGTAAAGGGAGGCAGACTGTTGTTGGCCCTGGGGTCAGGGCAGTACCATATATCCTGTCTTTTAACCAACTGCACCCGTGGGTCTTCCTGCCTCCGCACAGCTTACAAAGGCCTTACAGCCCAGCCTCCTGCTCATGCCAGCTCCCAATATCTTGAGTATCTTCTAGTATCTTCTTTTAAACATTTTTTTAAATGTTTATTTTTGAGAGAGACAGAGTGTGAGCCAGGGGAAGGGCAGAGAGAGAGGGAGACACAGAATCCAAAGCAGGCTCCAGGCTCTGAGCTATCAGCACAGAGCTCAACATGGGGCTCGAACTCATGAACTGTGAGATCATGACCTGAGCTGAAGTTGGACACTCAACCAACTGAGCCACCCAGGTGCCCCACTTCTATAGCCTCAGCCAGGGCTTGGTGTTCTGAGATACTATCTTGTCTGAACTTCACTGGGGGTGGGAGGAATGTTCACCCCATTGTACAGAAGGGGAAACCAAAATTTAGAGAAACTTCATCCAACAAATATCTATTAAGTGTCTATTCTGTGTCAGCTCCCCTCCTGCCCTCACAGTCTGTTAGGAAAGACAAACATTCCACAGACGAAAATAGGGAATGATGGATTGTACTAAGTGATGTGGCTGTAAAGACTGGGGAACTATGAGAGAAACCAGTCCTACTGGAAGGGGTCAGGGAAGACCTGTCTGCAGGCAGCATTTAAGCTGAGACCAGAAGGGTGAATGGATGTGACTTGCCCTTAAGACTCACAAGTTGGGCACAGCTGAGTCCTGTGGGTGGTTTCTGACCTCTGTCTGTATGCCTGTTTCCTGGGCAGACACGGCCATCCTGCTGTCTAGAGGGGTGAGGCACAAAGAGACCAGTTAGGAGAAGACCCAAGGTGAGTGGAACCTTGACGCTCCCACCCTCTTGTCATTGAGGTTGGGAATGGGACACCAAGAAGCCTGGGAAAGCAGATGTAACTTAAACCGAAGCTCGGGTCCAGCGGCAGAATCCTCAGGCAAAGGCATTGTGTTGGCCTTTCCCCACCGCCTGAGCCACCTTGGGGTCTTCAGGGGGCTGCTACATGGTTACTGACCCAGCCCTGGACACAGTTCATTGGTCAACGAGTAAACATGTGACTAAACCGGGCCTATAGGGTAGTTCCCTGAAATCTGTTTCTCCCTGAAGGTGACCTGCCCTAACCCACTACTCTGTGCTCTCATAGGGATGCTCCCACCCAAAGCAGAGGTTTGTGCAGCCTTGGGAGTATAGGGGATTCGGGCTCAAAATATGGCAAAGCTACAAGATCTCTGCTGAGCATGTGGCAGGTAAGAACACAGGCTTTGGAGTTAGTCCTGGGCTCAAACCTTGCCTCCACCACCAATTCAGGGTGTGATCTTGGGCAAGTCACTGCCCCTGTCTGGGCTTCTGTTGTTTTGTTTTGTTTGCCTTCTTTCTTTTTCGGTTTCTTTTTTTTTGTCTTTTTTCAGCGCCCACAGGGGGGGGAGAGGCAGGGGGGGGGGGGGCAGAGGATCCAAAGTGGGCTCTGCATGCTGACAGGCTGACAAGCACTGGGCTTCTGGTTTTTTTTTTATCTGTAGAGTGGGACACCAGCTTCACAGGCACCTGGGAAGTGCTGACGCCACTGTAGCAATGGTATAGAAGGTGCGACACGGACCAGGCCTAGCAGCTGGTCAGTGTGGGATGCAGCCAGGCTCAGACCAGCTGTGTGGCCTGGGGTGAGTTATTCCACCTCCCCAGGTGATTTCTCTGTCTGCACAAGGTGAATGTGCTACACAGAGAATGTGTGAGTGCCTAACACCATGCATTTCTCCCTCCCACCTCACCGGAGGACAAACTTCCAAAGCTGGACACACACCCCCTTCCTTAACTGTACCCAACTACCAGACAGCCCTGGTACATCTCCCAAGGCTATGCCAGGCCAGCCCTGCTGGCAGCTCCTGACATCAGCTGCTAATCCGGGAAAGCTGCCAGCCAGAGGTAGGGGTGAACAGCAAAGGAAGTCAGAAACAGGTTAGAAGGTGGGTGCCCCCAGCCCCTGGCCCCCAGCCAGCCCTTCCTGTGCTCTCATCAGCTTCTTACTTCAGCAAACCCTCCCAGCCTCACAGACTGATGCCCGGACATGGTGGAGCAAGGGCCTCTTATCGTGAGCCACCGGCTCTGAGGCTGCAAGTATCTCCAAGCTGGGTAGGGGGCATTCTTTTTGGCCTGGGTTCCAGGCTGACTCTAGCTGGTGCCATGTGGGCTGCAGAGAAAGCAGAGGAAGGAGGAATCTCACCCAGTTCTCTGAGCCTAAGCCAGGGACACCATCCCTCATGCTCTCCTGTCATCTCAGCCTCACACCACCCAGGATGTGCATCGTTTTACAGAGGAGGACGCACTGAGGCTCAGCCAAGTCCTATGTGACTTGCGCAAGATCTCATAGCTACTAAGTATCAGAGCGAGATTCTAACCCAGACCAGGTGGTTCCTGAGTCCAAGCTCTTCCTCCGTCCCAGCCATCTCCTGGCCAAGGTGCACCTCCCTCGGGCCGGCGGAAGTCAGTCAGCCAAAGCAGCCAGACCAAGGCCTGGTCTGACATCTTCCCATGGACTGTCCAAGCCATCCTGGCCAGCAGTAGGGAGGCCAGGCCCAGCTACTGGTGAGGGGGAGGAAAGACTAATGTTTGTCCCACACGCTGGGCCAGGACCTTCACAGTGTCCCCCATTGGACAAATGTGGAAACCAGTTTGGAGAGGGGAAGTGACTTCCCTGAGGCGATTCTGCTTCTCCTCCCCACCCTCCTCCCAACCTCTTCCTTGGTCCTCACCCCCCGCCCCGCCCCAGACCAATGTATTTCCTTCTCCTTCCCTTACAGTATGTCCTCTCCTCCTCGGTGCCAGGGCCAGAGGCTCTGGACCACAAGGACCTTAGAAGTTATCCTATCCAGGCCCTCCTTGAATGGATGGGCGAGGGACCCAGAGAGAGAGAGAGAGGAGCTACCCAAGGCCCCAGAACAAAATGAGATTTGGGCTAAGGGATCTTGCATCTCCATGTTTCCTATCTCCCTGAGATCACATCGAAGCTGGTGACCCTTCACTCAGGAGGGCACTGGCTGTCCCTACTCGTACCCAACCACAAGGTGGTCACAAAAACCTGGGCTCACATGGAACCAGCCTCATCCCAGGTCCATCTCCAGCTTGCTGTGTGCCCTCCTGCAAGCCACATCCCTCTCTGAGCCCCTTCTTCATCAGTGCCATGGGATCAGAATCCCCTGTCCTGCTCACCTATCAGGGTTGCCATGAGGATCCTATGAGGTGCTGGATAGAAGCCCCTTGTAAATGGCAAGGGATGGGACATAGGACAGTGTCCCATCCCAACACATTTGGGACCCAGAATATGATAGATGCCTCACTCCACCCTTACCCCCACCTCACACACAAATCACTTCCCCATAGACTTGCCAACGTAGGCTAGTCCACCATTAGAAAAGCTGTCTGGAGGGCAGAGACAGGTAGGTAGAGGCAGGAGATAAGGCTGGAAATCAGCAGGGCCAGGCCACTCAGGGCTAAAGACCATGGCTGTCCTCCTGAGTCTGAGTCCACAACTGCTTTAACCACATCTGTGGCAGGCTAGGCTATACCCCCAAGCCTGTTACTCTGAGAAGCTGCTGGACTGAACTCAAATCACCTTGAAATCCTATCCTAGAACTTTGCTGAGGCCCCAAGTGCAAGCCTCAGGGGTGTGACCAGAGCAAGTGGAAGCACCCAAAGCTGGGACTGGAGTCCTGGGCCAGGAGCCAGTTCCCAGCCTACCAGTTACTCACTGAGGCCCTCCTTGCTCTGGGTGTCAGTTTCTCCATGTGCCCAAGGATACTGGAACTGTGGGTCTCAGCACTGATGTTCAGATTCTGCAATATAGCATCACCAGGCCTTTGTCCATACTTGGGCAAGCCCAGCCTTCCCTTCTGCCTTTTCTCTGCCTCACAAATTCCTACTCATCCCTCCAGGTCCCAGTCAGCAGTCACCTCCACCAGGAAGTCTTCACCAACACCCCTGGGGACAAGCTGCCCCTCCTGCATGATTCCACACCTTCTTCGGCAGGCCTCCAGTCAGACCCAGTCCTGCCCTCAGACTTGAGGTGAGGCTCCAATTAATTAAAACACATGAAATCTGAAGAGCCTGGTTACTTCCGTAGCTTAAGTGTCTGACTCTTGATTTCAGCTCAGGTCATCATCTCACAGATTTGTGAGTTCAAGCCCCAAGTCGGGCTCTGACAGCACAGAGATTGCTTGGGATTCTCTCTCTCTCTCTCTCTCTCTCTGTCTCCCTCGCTCCCTCTCTGCCCCTTCCCTGCTAATGTGCACACATGCACTCCTTCCCTCTCTCAAAATAAATAAACTTAAAAAACTAGACATGAAATCCTTAGAATAGAGTAACACAGAGCAAGCAGCCATACAGATCATCTATACCCCAGCAACCTGCCCTGTGTACCTCCACCCACATCCTCTCCCCTAAGCTCCACACACTAATCTGGCACCTCCATGTGGTCGTCTCACAGACATTTCCCCTTAGCCTGCCCAGAGGCTCCTGGTCTCCCCCAAACCTGCTCCTCCTATGTCTTCCCTTCAAAGTAAAGGGCCCACTGTTCCCCAGGTGCTTAGACCAAAACCTAATTCCCTGCTTTATCTCACAGCCCCATTCAATCCATCCACAAGTCCTATCAGCTCTAGAATCCAGTGGCTCCGTACTATCCCCACTGCCACCCCTGGTGTCTGAGCTGCTTCTGTGTCCTACCTGGATGGTGGCAGCACTCCCTCCCCCCAACTTCCTCTTTTTTCACTGCCCAGTTTGTCCCTCTCATGGCACCTTTCAACTATCCACCATATCCCATGGCTCCCATCACACTCAGAAACAAATCCCAACTCCTCACCACAGCCTGAAGGTCTCTGTGACACCTGCCTGTGACTCTTTCTTTCCTCCCCCTCCAGCTCCAGCACCAGGCTCCAGCCACTTTGCCCTTGGGCTCCTCCTGGGTCATGCCCAGCTCCTTCCCATCTCAGAGATAGTGCACTTGCTGTCCTGTGTGTTGGAGTGCCGTCCCCCAGATCTTCTGGGCCTGGTCTCATTCTCGTGCCTGGCCTGCCCAGTCCTTGGCACACGGCAGCTGCTCACTGAACGTCTGCCAAACCTACAGGGGATAGGGGACAGGAACAGGGCTGGCCCAGCAGGGCCGGGTGTCGGCTGGAGTGTGGTGTCACCACCAGGTGGCGCTGCAGACACATCTCCGGGCTGTGACCTGGGGTCCAGCCTCCAGATTTATTCTCTCAGCAAAGCCTCTGGGCCTCCTGTGCCAGGCGTGCCAGGCGGTGCTGTCGGGCACCAGCTGACTCGGCCCCCGCCCTGCCCGTCCTCCAGTGGCTGGCTACTGTCGGATGTGGTCCAGGGGTGTCCACAGAAGGCTGGGAGGAAGAGAGGGAGGGCTGGCTGCCCCCAGCTTCCTCATCTGTCAGCAGGGACAAGATGGGACCCAGGACTGAAACCCTGTGGCAGGGAGCCGAGGTGGGCTGCTCTAACACAATGAGGCTGAGGGGCTTTCTGAGGGGGCCTCCCCAATGATGCGTGAGTGGGTGGTGTGTGCATCTGGGGAAAAGGCAGGTGGACAGGAAACCAGCCGCCCCTGGGGCCTCACCCTCCTGCTGCATCAAACAGGGAAAGTCTCTAGGGCCTCCCCTGCCATGAGCCCTGTGACCTGAAGAGTGGGTGTGTGTGTATGAGAGAGAGAGAGAGAGAGAGAGAGAGAGCACGAGCGTCAGAGTCCCCAGATGTATGTGTTTGTCTATGCGTGTGTTTAAGCGAGTGAGTGTATGTCTGTGTGTGTCCACACCTAGGAGCCCCTGGGTGATGATGGGCTGCCTCTCACCTTGGCAGAGGAGGATCAGGGATTCCAGGGAACCAGGGGCTATCATCTCCCTGCCAAGAGGGGCCCTCAGGGCCTGGAGCACCTGCTCAGTCAGTACCAGGGCACCCGCTTCTGTTCCAGCCCCCAAGCACCTGGTAACTGAACCTTCTCTCTCCATTGTTCCCCAAGAGCACCTATGCTGCCTGATTTGCATGCATTTGCATTCAGACCCCCCCACCCCCGGTCCCCACTCTCAATCCTGTCAGCGCAGTCAAGGAGGCTGTAGACTTCCCGTGGGTGAGGAGCCCGGGGTGAAGTTGGAGAGGCCTGCCCCTAGCCTGCCCAGACCCAGAGAGTCAGCCTGGCTCTTTCCCTTCTCAAGAGATACAATGATTAAGCACGTACTGTGCCGAAGTAGGCCACCAGATACTTTATTCACCTATCCATTACATCTTCACAGCAGCCCTGGAGGGTATCTTTATGCCCATTTCACAGAGGAGAAAATTGAGGTTCAGAGAAATGAAGTGACTTGGCTAAGATCCCACGGTAAAAGGCATTGGAGCCCAGCCCTGGCAGACTTTCTGCCGGCACACTGGGGTGTGCGTATGGGAAGGGGGGGCACGGGCTCTCTTTCTTGGCTGAGGACTGGTGACAAGCCATCTGCCTGGCCACCTGGCTCTTACTACTTTTCACTCCAGTGACCCCCTGGGGAGATGAGGGTGGTGGTGGTGGTAGTGATGACAGAAGACAAAGGGGCTGCTGAGGTTTTGGGGGTTCCTGAGCTGATTCTGGCCTCCCTCCACACACCCACCCAGGTCCAGCCAGAAGGTTTTCTCTACAATTCTTCCTCCCAGACCAGCTGAGCTAGCTGTCCCCCAGCTCCTGGTGGCCCTGCCCAGACGCTGTCTGAAGAGTCCAACCTTTCAGGCCCAGCTTCGAGGTGAAGATTCAGTGACCATTTGCTTAGGAATAATAATAATGATGATAATAATAATAATAATAATAATAATATCTGCTGTCAGTTGAGTACTCACTAAGCATCCAGCCTTGTGCCCAGTGCTTTTCAGGCAGTCTCTCAAAGCAATATTTCACACAACTAGAATTGCATCATATTATTATCCACATTTTTCAGGGGAGGAAATAAGGCACAGAGAGGTGAAGTGACTTGCCCAAGATCACACAGCTAAGAAATACCATAAGCAGGTTTCAAACTGAGACTCCTTGGGTCCAGAGTCTGTGTTGCACTGAAGTGAACAGCCAAGAAATGGATATTCTATGGGCCTGTCCTGGCTAGTCACTGTGGGCTGCAGGGGTGTCTTAGACCACTGACTCTAGGCTGGGCTTTGTTGGGCAAAGTAGGCTCGCCTCACCTCATGTGAGCTAGAGGACAGAAGCTCCCTGGATTCCAGCCACTGCACAAGTCACTTTTCCCCTTCCAGCTTGGTTTTCCCCTTTGCTAAAGGAGGCCTCCGACCTTGCCCAGCCTCCCAGGGTAGCTGTGAGGATAGAGTCGTCAAAGCTGCCATTGTCAAATGGATTTTTCCAGTAGAATCTCATTTTCAACCACAATCTTACCCAGAAGGCCAACATATGGAACTGATAAAAAGGATGGTTCATCAGCATAAATTTCTAAGCTCAGGGTCCTGACAGATCCTTAGTCTAAAGTCACTCGAGGGGTGCCTTGGTGGCTCAGTCAGTTAAGTGTCCGACTTCAGCTTAGGTCATGATCTCGCCATTTGTGAGTTTGAGCCCCGCATAAGACTCTGTGCTGACCACTCGGAGCCCGGAGCCTGCTTTGGATTTTGTGTCTCCCTCTCTCTCTCTGCCCCTCCCCCACTTGTGCTCTGTCTCTCTCTCTCAAATAAATAAACATAAAAAAACACACTAAAGGGGCACCTGGGTGGCTCAGTCGGTTAAGCGGCCGACTTCAGCTCAGGTCATGATCTCATGGTCCGTGAGTTCGAGCCCCGCGTCAGGCTCTCTGCTGACAGCTCAGAGCCTGGAGCCTGTTTCAGATTCTGTGTCTCCCTCTCTCTCTGACCCTCCCCCGTTCATGCTCTGTCTCTCTGTCTCAAAAATAAATAAATGTTTAAAAAAAAAATCACATTGGGGCGCCTGGGTGGCGCAGTCGGTTAAGCGTCCGACTTCAGCCAGGTCACGATCTTGCGGTCCGGGAGTTCGAGCCCCGCGTCGGGCTCTGGGCTGATGGCTCAGAGCCTGGAGCCTGTTTCTGATTCTGTGTCTCCCTCTCTCTCTGCCCCTCCCCCGTTCATGCTCTGTCTCTCTCTGTCCCAAAAAAATAAATAAACGTTAAAAAAAAAATTAAAAAAAAAATCACATTAAAGTCACTTGAGAGGGTAAATGCGTGATGGACACACATCCTGCTTGGGGTGTTGGTGAGTGCCATGGTGCCAGGAGCTACCCCAGCACTCAGTCTATTCCTGCAGCTTGTCTGAGCTACATGGCATCGTTTTTAAAAAATGATAGCTCCGAGCCACCAGCACAGAACCTGACGCAGAGCTCGAACTCGTGAACCGTGAGATCATGACCTGAGCCAAAGTTGGCCACTCAACTGAGCCACCCGGGCGCCCCTAAACAATGAATTTAAATCAAGCTCTGGTGGCAGCTGTATGATCCAGCCAGGGGTTCCAGGTGTCTACGGAGCCCATCTGATGACTCCCAGCTCCAGCCGTGGCACCCCGGGCAAGTCTCTTGCCCCCTTTGGGCTTCAGGAGGTAAAGGAGGCTGGGGTCCACCTTCAGTGGCCCATCTGTTTACCTCAGCAGGTCTGAATTTGGCGATCAGAGACACTTGGCAGATGACCTGGCTCCCCACATCCCCTCAGAAGCCCAGTGGGTGCAGAAACAGAGTGTGTGGAGAAACCCTTCAAGGAGTGGCCTGGGGGCTCAGCTGGGATATGGGAGACAGCTAGGTGGGGTAAGGTGGGGTGGGATGGGGAGGGGACAGGGAGCTGACCTTGCTGAGAGTTTAAAAATAAATCCTGAGTGCTGTTAGCTCCAGCCAGCCCAGGCTCCCAGGGCCTGGTGACATCACCAGGGCACAGGATGTCCTTGGCAGGGCCTGGGGTGGCAGAGAGGAGGGCAGAGGGGGTCCCAAATTGCCCTTTCTGCTCTTTGTGTTTGGGGAGAGCCAGCCTGGGTTGTCTTGGGCAAGAGGGGCTGCCAGGGGTCCCTCCTCGCCCAACATTTGGGAGCATTCCATTTTGCACCTAAGAAAACTGAGGCTCCAACTTTAAGAGATTTGGCAGCTCCAGAA